TCAAACCATGTGGAAAAAAAGTCAAAATAAATTTCACTTGATTTTTGCATTGCGTGCAGCTTAAGAAATGTTTGCTTTTTCTTATACGAAACATCTCAATTTTTCTTTCTAATATATTCTATTAAAATGAAATATTTATTAGAATTATATCTTATATAATATCAAAAAAAGATTTTCTTATACGTCTAATCTTTCTAAAATTAATGTCAAAAATAAAAAATCATTACAATATTGGAATTTATACTGAAGATACTGTTATTGAGATAATAATTGTCATTGAGACATTGTTTATGTTCTCGTATTTATGTAATCAATGATGAAATGTAAGGAATTAGGAAATATTAACTTTTAATTGTCGAACATATTCTATTCGTATTATATCATGTAATAATAGTGATAGTTTTCGAACTTATTTTATATCTAAATATTTATTCTTCCAAAAAGTACATTTCTAATAAATCTAAGCCCTACTTTTCTTTTCTGTTCTATTGATTTTTCTCCTTTCTCTTTTTATTTTCGAATAAGATAGTGAATAGAATCTCGTGTTTACCTCAATAATGATTGAAGTTACTCTTCTATTTTCTAATGTACGGTATACAGTATGTAAGAGGTAACAGAACGAAATATTCACAAACATTTTTGTCTTCTAATCGTATCTCTCCATCTCTCTCGTGTAAAACCAATCAAAATTGCTTTTATAGTTAATATGTCGCTAGATGAAGTCAGTAGAGAAGAAAGCACTGACTCATTGAATAAAATCAATCCTTTGAATCCACAATTTTTCACAAAGAAAAGTGATTGACGAGAAGTTGAATTGTGAATACCTATATATAATATATAAGAGAAAAACTATACAACAGACGACAAATAATACGTTAAACAAATATGAATTCGGTGATGGTAATCTAACTAGTAACGCTCGTCGAGGCAGACTCGCTTAACCCTCGACTGAATGAGTAAATTTAAATGTTTTCTCTTGCTGAAATTATTCATATTGATGTAAACTTGATTATTATGTACTAGTCGTAGTCCTTTTTTTACCTTATAATCCTGTAAGTCATTTTGTAAAAATTTTTAAAAAGTATTATAATTCAAATGACAGCTGAAAAGGTCTGATACAGAACTTCGCTAATCAACTGCATAACAGAAATTTATTTTATATTCAATGAAAAGAAAGAAAAATGACTAGAATAAATCAATATCAGTGTAAATATACATAACACAATTAGAAAAGCAAAATAATCTCGATTTTAGGAAGTTTTAAAATGTAGAAATTCCATAATTCAATCAAAGATAATGAAATTTATGGAAAATTCAAATTATCTATAGTACAAACTGATAAAAGAAGTAACAGTTATCTTATTACACATATGATTCATTGAAACCATTCCGGAAAACGTGATCGTGTATTCAAAAACAGCTGATCCAGTCTTTCCATTTCGGTAATTTGAGATTTCGATGGTTTCATCAGTAAAACTTTATAATCAACTGGTCGTAGAATACCTAGATCGGCCAAACGTTTTACACGAGATAGTGGTACGTAGACTGCTGCAATATCGTCCGTTTCATTTGGTAATTTTAGATCAATAACCACTTTGCTCAATGTTTGACCTTGACTTTTATGCGTTGTAATACAATAAGCAGGTACAAGTGGTAATGCAGATCGTTTGATGGATAAAATTTTCTTTTGATTGGATTTGGGTTTCTTATCTTTTGGAATAAGATCAGCAACGTCAACTTGAAATGTCTGTTCTACAAGTGGAATTGGTATAAGTTTTTGTTCAAGATCTTGAAGTTTGCATTCAATCTTCGATTTAGCGATCTCAATTAATGCATATATTGGTCGACGAATATATTGTGTATTATTCGGGAACATTTCTGATAAATTTTCTGTTGTTACCGAATCTTCATGATATACTAATTGTCGAAATATTCCATTAATACCATTGATAAGGCCTAATTCAGTAGCAATATTTTGCGTTAAAATGACAGGCA